TGTATAACATTTAAAAATGTAATACAAGATTCTTCATAAGTTTTATTACATTTAGCAAAAAAACAACTTAAAAAAAAAATACGTTAATATGTTTTTTTTCTAAAAATATCAATAAAATTTAATTTGATGGTTGCGAAAGCTTGAAAATTTAATCGAAGGCTCCTAGTATATTGTTTCAAAGGCAGATGAAAAATATTAAAAATCCTTAGTCACAATTTTTTTTATAAGCATTTAAAGATCGAATTTTGACAAAATTTATCAAAATCTCGAAAATTATCAATCATTGTAATTAATAAATTATAAAATGTTCAGTTTTTATAGCTAAGGGTTGCCCCTTAATACCTATATACACAGTCTTATCATTGAGCATACTTCTTATTCCTTATAATATGGTAGATTGTATGGATAGACAATAATATTTTGATTTTTCAGTTTCATATATCCCCGAATCATATTTTTAAATTACAACAAAAAACCAAGATCGTTAACATTGATTTAATATGTAATTTTGTCCAAATATGAATTTTAAATTTTAAATGTCTGTAAAAAATAACTGTGTTCATAAATTTTTTAGATTTTTTGGCTACAGTATGAACTATTTATGAGAATCTTTTTTTTTAAATTTTCAATCCTTAACTATAAAAACTGAACATTTTATAATTTATTAATTACGATGATTGATAGTTTTCGAGATTTTGATAAATTTTGTCAAAATGCAATTTTTAAATGCTTATAAAAAAAAATTATGCCTATGTATTTTTAATATTTTTCAATTTCTATTTTAACAATATATCAGGAGCCTTGTATTAATTTTTTACACTTTTTGGCCCAACAGATAAAACTTTATTGATATTAATAGAAAAAAAAACTAAAAAAATTGAAAACTGAAAATGTCCGTAAACGGCTCAAAAAGAGTCAAAATATTTTCAAAATCGTATGGTTATCAATAAAAAAATCTCTATCGGAAGGTCAAATTAAATTTTTAGGAGCGTTTGAAATTCAAATTTTTACAACATTGGATGTTCACTCGATTTCTCATGTAGCGATTTCCTTATTTTGTTGTTATTCATAGACGAATAACTATAGATAGGTACATGGAAATTTCACTGAATGTTTAAATTAGCATTTCCTATACACCATACAATTTTGAAAATATTTTGACTCTTTTTGAGATGTTAACGGATATTTTCATTTTTCAATTTTTTTAGTTTTTTTTTTCTATGAATATCAATAAAGTTTTATCTGTTGGGCCAAAAAGTGTAAAAATTTAATACAAGGCTCCTGATATATTGTTACAATATCAGTTGAAAAATATTAAAAGTACATATGCACAATTTTTTTTTGTTAAGCATTTAAACATCGAATTTTGACTGAATTTTTCAAAATCTCGAAAATTATTAATCATCATAATTAATAAATTATAAAATGTTCAGTTTTTATAGCTAAGGATTGAAAATTTAAAACAAGATTCCACGTAAGTTGTTAATTCTCTTACCAAAAAATCTAAAAAATATACAATCACAGTTTATTTTTATAGTCATTTTATATTCAAATTTGGACGAAATTACATATTAAAAACCCTAGTTATTTTGTTGTGATTATAATATTATATAATATTATTCGTGGATACCTACTTGAAACTTCTAAAGTGTACTATTATATATCTATGATAGTATCAGGGTTTGTTATTGATGTTGATGTATAACGTGTTATAAGTACTTAATGGATATTGTGATAATGTGATATGATTAATTTGGAATTTATTATAGGTCAATTTTTTTTTAATACCATAGATATGTATATAATTTGTCTTTAACCTAGACTGACATACCGTCTTCGCTGAGAATCGTTTTTCTTATACAATGATATTGTATCATTGAATTCAAATTTAATATCATCCATTATACAGTGACCCACTTGTAACCTACTGTACAGCAGAGCGACACCCACTTGCCCACATTTTTCATATATTTAGGTTGCATTAAAAAGTTTGTAAATTAATTAATTAGTTTATTTCTTTTTATATGTTTTGTTTTTTTAGAAGGATCTTATAACATTTGGGTTGTATAGCTCTAATTGGACAGAAATGGATATTACATTTCAAAAATTGATTTTCTTAACAATGAGAATGGCTAATGCCCACCAGAATAAATTACAATTTACAAGGACAAGAATTATTAACATGGAAATATTTTATCAAGTATGTTTCATATCATTACCTTCATAATTATATAAATATAATGATCATAATCAAACGAATATAATATATTGAGGTTTTAAGTTGGTAGTGGAAATATTGTTTTCCCTAATATTTTAAATTTACAATGTTATGATTTCTGATATTTCTAAACATAAATTCCCTTATAGATTGATTAATTGAACAATCCTTGATCTTTTTTTCCTCTGGTCATAATATTATATAGTAAAAAGTAATACCTCTATAAGTAAAATAAAAATCAATTTTATTTAGTAATCTCCAAAGATATTGTTAAATTAATATTTAATAAACAATTATGCGGTAAGTACATTCACTAAGAAGAAAAATAGTTAATATGTTATGAAGTTAAATTACTGCATTATATCCAAGGCATCGAATTCCACAATATATGTATGCATATAGGGGTATCCCCATAACTAGTATAAACTGGGTCATCGAATATTATAGTTATAAATAATTAATTATTATAATTAACATACGCATCACTTAGCAAATTTTATGTTTAGAATTACTAATTTTAATACTTAATTTCAGATATTTCTCGACTTAAGTGGGCTCCCTGTAAAATTAACTCCATTATGATTTTTCTTGCCCATTTCTCGTTTTGATTTCCGAATAGGGGTCGGTCTGAACTCTGAAGAAACCCGTGATTAGTCTATTTGCTGAATCAGTAAGTGTGACGTTCCGGTCTCTTCAAC